GAATGCTCGGAGTACTGTTCATGTTCCATATCAAAAGCTCTTTTTAAAAGCCAGCCATATGTTTTAATTTTCAAAAGTGTGAGTCAACAAAAGCTTTGCTTTAATTAAGAGCACAAATTAAGTGCCCTAATTGCCACAAAAGCAAATAAGAGTCATATTTTCGTGTAGTCTTAAATGTTATGGGTGTTGTTGGTTTTGGAGCGCAACAGAGCGCCTGTTCATTTCTTGCACATTTTAAACCAGATGGGAAAGAAGTTCATAAATTTTTACTTTTATTACTAAAAATATATATATGCCTGTATCATAATTCGCACTGTGTGTTCCAACGCCATTCATAATGCTGCAAGGCGTTGGCAAAGTGAACCAGTGCTGCAGCCACAACGCAAATGTGCCAAAGCTGGTGGCTAGAGAACCACAAGTCAAATCGACCGGGGAAAAAACGTTCGGGAAACTTGGTAGCGTAAATTATAGCTCCGCTTGTGTACAGCAACCCCATTAGCAGTAGTGGGCCAATCATTACCGTGACATGAGGGTCGAAAAGGCCAAAATGCCACACCAGGTGCGTCACAGGAACCACACCGAAGAAGCCAAGCGCCAAGAAGATACAAGTGCGAGCCACGAGAAATCTCGGGGTGCCAAAAATTGGAAGAAGCGCCACAACAAACGTAAGTGCAGCCATCGTCGAGATAGATACGAGATAAACGCTGCGCAGCCACGGATGACAATAAAACGAATAGTATACCAGGGGGTAAAAAGATCCGGCAATCAGAATTGTGATGCCGGCGTAGTCCACACGCGACAGGAACATGTAAGTTGGGCGGTTGACCACAAACATCAGATGGAAAATGGCGCTACAAGTGAGGCAGATGACAGCGCTAGCCATGAAAGCGAAGATGGGCCAATGAGGAACGTCGTGAGGACCCTCAGCTGTAGACAAAATGCGCAAGCCCTTCCGTACACTATCCGCCACGCTATTTAACTCCTCAAGCGCAAATTTCACAGGCATATCTGCTCCCACTTGGCTGGCCACATCCTGCAAAAAAACTGAAAACGCCTCAACACGATTACCCAGCTGCTTCTGCAGGAAAAGTATCTGCCCCGAATGTGCGTCGCGCATCTGTCCTCCCAGTCGCGCCGACAGCGCACCTAGTTCCCTTCGAAGCTGCTCCATTTGGGTGCCCACAGAACCCGAAAAACCACCAATGTTTTCTTCAACAAGAGCTTGGAAGTGCTCAAGGCTAGGAAGTCGTTGAAGACTACGGTCAAAGATAACGTTCGCCACCTCGTAATATCTGGCAGAAGCCACACATTCCGTGGGTAAAGGACAAAGTTCGGGTAGACCGGTGGCAAGCAGCAAGCGCGGGGTGTGGCGGCCCTCCTTCATCCACTGCTGATCACTGTTGCACATTGAGTGCGGAATACTTGAACCAGACAGCGAGACTGTATCAGCCGATGGAGAAAGCGCATGACCCGAAAGCGCCAGGTAGCCCATAAGCATGATGAAAATGAAGGATCCAACTATGTGCGTCCATACATTAAGAGTCTCATTATGTAACTCGAAAAGCGAAAGTATACAGTCACGTGCAGAGTAGTGCAGACGGTAACCTGAACGAATGTATGAGTTGTCAGCGAGGTAAGCGAAGCCTTCGGCGTGCAGCCGCTCAAAAGTCTGTAGCTTCCCGGCGCTAACTTTAGTGGGGGTTTCTAGCTTTTCCATCAAAGTGACGTTGACCGAAGAGAAAAAGAGACTAGGCTGCTTCTGGCGAATCTTGGTATGGTTGCGATTTCCCATTCACGGTGGCGGCGGTGCCCGTTTGGCGTTTTTCGATTCTATTGTGGGCGACGTGGTATAACAAAGAATGACAGTCCTGACGCTGCTCCGTCATGTGTCTCTGGCCAATCACAGCGCTTCTTGAAGGGTGGAAAACGAAATTCGTGCTATCATTGTGAGTCAAAATCATTGTAGAAAACAGAAATCGTTGGACAATTTCTTAGGAAATCAATAAACTTAGATTAAGAAAAAAAGGTAAAATTTGGCATTGTTCCATACTTCCATTCAATTGGTGAATGGAGGATTCTAAGCGAATAATCCGAAAACATTTGAGATAGTCATATTGCAATGCTTCCCAAATCAGGAAATTCTATTTCTATTATAGTGCAACAGAGTTACCGAGCTCGTCGGACAGTGATAGCTTTGACTCTACGAGTTCGAGTAAGCAAATGCACAAGAAAATGGGCTTGTACGCATCACCTTAGAACGGTATTGAGAACGTTAAATAAATAGTGCTTATGTGCTCTTACTCTATTTCTCGAGTGAGATTATTCACTGTGGCTGTGCAACGGGTTGCCGTGCACTTTGCACAGAGCTTTGACTCAAACATTCCACAGTAACAAACGCGCAGGTGTTGGATTCGTGCGCACCACCCACGAGCGGAATCGAGAGTTTCTTGCAACTTAGTGTTCAGCTAGTCTTGCTATTTCGAAGTAAATACGCAACAGGTTAGCTTGTAACAGGTTACACGTACACTGGTAATAGGGGTGAGTGTCAAACGAGATGTGCATGGTATGACTGCAGCCAAACAAGAATACGGTATGTGGCTAGGTCATGTATTTAGAATTCACAGTATCGGATTTTTACGAATAGTGATCGGTCTTTTATTTATTAGAAGCCTCAAGAAATCGATCACTTTTGACAGGAGGTCTACAATTCGTAGAAGGCTACTATATCTCGACGACATCAACGTCATCCAAGGCTTGGTCTAGTTCGCCTACATTGAAAGGATCATCCTCTCTTTCACTGTCGGCATTGCTCCAACTTTGCTGAAATTCCCACCCGTAAACATCATGGTTCCAAATGAACCACTGTGACGGGCTTTCGTGATATCCTGCACCTTCAATGGAGTTCAAGACCACTGATGTGGGTGTTTCTCGCCACGCCGTACGTACCCA